GGTGTTATTATTAATACCTCTTTAAAGATGGGAAAACTGAGACTAAGAATGATTAAATTTTTCTAAGTCACAAGCTAATAAATGTCAGACACAAAACTTGAAGCTAAGCAGTTGGAAAAGAGAATATGCTTAGACCCCATTCAATTTGCCATCCGTTAGTAAACCTCTACTTGGTCCACTTAAATTAGCAGATGTATCACCCTCCTTTAAAAACATGCTGATTCATGCCCAGATCTACCAAATGCCTGAAACTTATAAGCTATTTCTTATATGTAAAGTATTAGAACCGTGACTGACATAGAGTAAATATGAAGTAAAATTCTCTAGTGTTCTCCCTCCACATTCCCTAACTCTTCCAAGTAACCAACCACCTATGAGCCACAACTGACTGCAGAGATGGTTATTTAGTGCACTAATTTCCATAGTGAAAGAGTAAGAGTTCCTTAGTCTTTCTGCCACAGAAGGACTTAATATGCATGAAAGTATTATTTATTGTTTCTCGGTTTTGGAAATTGCTCTTAGGATAAAGTTAAAGCATAATTAGTTAAGGAGGTTAGCCACAAAAAACATCCTGCTACTCTGTTCTGTGAAAAAAAAATACAAGAATGAAAAATGAACCACGTGGATATAATCAAGTTCATATTTCCAAAACAGTTTATGGGAAAGGAATCAAAAGTGTGATTACTGATATTCTCAAAAGCAGTGATTTTTTTTTCCAAGAAAATTTAGTGTCATTAAAATTTCCAAGAATGAAAAGACACCTACAGAATTAGATCTCAGTCACTTTTACATTGGGACAAAGAGCGTGTATTCAAACCTCAAAGGCCATATGATCACAGGTGAGATGCTTTATGTCTGTCTTATTTTTTCATTTAAGAGCAGAAAAAACAATGGAGTCTCGTGTAGTTGTTCTGAAATTAATTAAGTTTCCAAATGTAAGGTGCTCAGAACAATGCTGGGTGCATGTAAATGCTACATCAATGTCCCTTCCTTCCTTATTTATATCATTTATATCTACAGGTTTTTAGGACTTTGAGCAAACACATTATGTTAAGTGTCAAATAATAACTTCAAAGCAATCACTTCAAAGTCTTATTTTCAATGTAATCAAGAACGCTAATGATGTATTTTACCTTTTAGAAATATGTATTATTTTATTTCTGTAAAAGATTAAGATTGCTGCTGTTGACAGCCTTTAGACTGTCTTCAGTCCAGTGTTAGTGACTGAAAGAGAGCTACATTTTATAACTGATATGATATCCTGTCCCTTGAGAGGCAGAACTGTCATGTTAGTAGTAATAGTCTATTTCCAGAATGAGCATCTGAACCACGATATTAACCCCTGGACATTCTACAGCATGTCAGCAAAGCTTTAATACTAAGACAATTGGAAAGCTGAAAATTTCAAGAAAATAATTTGAACATATTTCTTAAGTCTGCACAATTATCAAGTACTTATTTTGACTCGTAAAGTATTGAGATTATGTCTTATTTGAGTTTCCCTTTAGCATAACAGACTCCAGTTTTGAATATATTTCTGAATATATTTACAGAAGGGAGAGCGGCTGACAGGATGTCCTGATTTGACTCAGTGAAATGGAAGAAAAGTTCCATGCAGTAGGGTTGCTGGAGGTCAGAGTTCCTGCTGCTAAATCATTCTTCAGCCTCTTTCATTTCTTTCATGTACCCAGGGGCATGTGCTATAAGCCTGGAGAGCAAATAAGTGAATACTTTAAAAAGCTGTTTTACTAAGACATGTAGGAATTTGAGAATAGGAGACTGCAAACTGTGTGACCTAATCCTTAAAAGGTGGAAAAATGGGAAGGAAAGATGTTTTTCGTCATTCAAGTGGGGAGACTACATGAATCACCTCAGAGGCTGAGACTTATGGAGCAGCAGCCAAAGCAGAAGAGCTGAGAGTGTCTGGCTTGACCAGGAAATTGGGCAGTCTATCCTAGAACGAAGAACACAAATCAACAGACGTGTAAGCAGAAATCAGGGTAGGAGAGTGGATCCCGTGCATGAGCAAATGTTGACAGAAGGAAATGGAATGCTCCACATGATAGCTCAGAGACTAAATTCTCAACCAATTTCCACATTTCAACTAGATGAATGGAATTAAAATGAGCTTACTGGTATGATACAGTGTAAGAATCCCATTTGGAAGGCCAAACACGATGCATTCGAAGCCGGACTTGGTCATTGTAAATGGATATGATGATAATACGGACGTGAGAGTATGTGAAGGAGGATTAAATGAGTTAATTTATGCAGCTGGAATTTCCAAACATCACTGACGGATCTGCATATGAAACAATTCGTCTGCAAATCAACCTGTCAGTTTCTCATAATGGTAAGCATCTACCTAAATTATGAAACTTCTAAATATTTACTCAAGAAAATTAAAACATATACATAGAGTAAAAGCACTTATGCTAGAGTGTATCTCTCTAAAATTATATATAAAATGTCTAACATTAGGAATGCTTTTTCTCTGAGCTATAGAATTATGGTGGAATATTTTCTCTCTTTAGTGTAATTTTAGAAAATCAATTTAAAAATTTTAATGTATGGAATAATTTTCTTTGCATTTATCTAATAATTATGTAATTTCATCATTAGAGATAGACATGAGGAACATGGGAGAGCTTTCCTTTGTCTGCAAATGATTGGCATTAATAAATGACTCCCTACAGTATTCCTTTACAAATTCCATCGTGTTGTGCTGGGTGAGCATAACAAATATTGAAAACTGTTAGGTTCTGAGAAATTTCTGGGAAGAGAAGGCATTTAATACTCTCAAAAAAAGCAAGCCTGCATAGATAAAACAATACTAAGCAAAAAGAACAAAACTGGAGGCATCCCACTGCCCAACGGCAAACTATACCATAAGACAACAGTAATCAAAACAGTGTGGTACTAGTATTGAAACAGAGACATAGACCAATGGAATAGAACAGAGGCCTCAGAAGCAACACCACACATCTACAGCCATCTAATCTTTGATAAACCTGACAAAAACAAGCAATGGGAAATCCGCTTTAGTTCTTTGTAGATTCTGGATATTAGCCCTTTATCAGATGGGTAGATGGCAAAAACTTTTTCCCATTCTTTTGGTTGCTAGTTCACTCTGATGACTGTTTCTTTTGCTGTGCACCAAAAGCAATGACAACAAAAGGCAAAATAGACAAATAGGATTTAATTAAACATAAGAGTTTCAATGTAATTTTTTAAATCTCTTAAAGATCAGCAAGTATAAATGGCTTAGGCACCAAGAGAAAAAAAAGAATTATCCTATGAAGGAAACCCTCTGCTCTGCACTTCCTGGGATAGTTTTGGATATTTTAAACAATGCTTAAATGAAATCAACATATACATTTTCTCTCAAAAGTTTCTAGTTTTAAGACTATTAACTTTTTGCAAAATCTCATTCATACTCTCAGAATCTAAAGTTGATTTGAATGTTTGTATGCATTTATTTGCCCTTCAACTTTCTACCATGTTATAATATAGCATGAAGCCCTTGCCAGATGCTTCCCAGTCTCTAGAACCATAAGCAAAATAAACCTCTTTTCTTCATATATTACCCTGTCTTAGGTATTCTGTTACAGGAAAAAAAAAAGTACTGAGACACATGCAATTTTCTAAGACTTCTAGTAAAATGAATGAATGGATAGATATGCAGATAGATATATAGGTAGATAGATAGATTTCATGCCAGTACATAAATGAAAAGCATAAAAGCCAAGAAAGAAAAGAGGTTTCAAGAAGGAGAAACTGTTCAACTTGGTCAAATATTTTGAATGGTTATTAGTAAAGTATGTACTGGAGAATTGAGAACCTATTTATCTTTGGTAAGTATTGAGGGCTAGGAGCCTTGACCAAAATGGGTGCAAGGATGTTGAGGAGATGAAAACTGAATCATAGTGTATTGAAAATAGATAGATATGACACAGCAGAAACAAGTCCATACCTTTGTTGAAAAATTCTGCAACGAAGGAAAGCAGAGAAAAAAATAGGTAGGCATCTGCAGGGAAGTGTTTATTTTTAAGAAGGAAAATACTAAAACAAATTTTACTCATATAAGTAATTAGAGAGGTAAAGATAAATGACTCAGATAAAAGAGGGAAGACTATTAGGACAAATCCCAATTTGATGGAAGGTGAGACAGTGTTGCCGTCTCTTCCATTTTTTTTCTCTTATTTTATTTTATTTTTTTGAGACAGAGTCTCATCTGTCACCCAAGCTGGAGTGCAATGGTGGTGGTATCTTGGCTCACTGCAACCTCTGCCTCCTGGGTTCAAAAGATTCTCGTGCCTCAGCCTCCAGAGTAGCTGGGATCACAGATGTGTGCCACCATGCCTGGTTAATTTTTGTATTTTTAGTAGAGATAGGGTTTCACCATGATGGTCAGGCTGGTCTTGAATGCCTAACCTCAAGTGATCAGCCCTGCTTGGCCTCTGTACATGTTGGGATTACAGGTGTGAGCCACCATACCCAGCCCTTCCTTTTTATGTCAAGTGTTCCCTTCTATTATAGTCTTTACTTGTACAAATGATTTCTAGCTTTGTTTTGTGTCTACAGCTTTCTGTTATCTTCATGTGATAGTGCAATTTATCCTCAACTGGATTAAAATCTCTGAAACAAAACCCAATGAGTACATTTTTTGCAAGTAACTATAACTTTTTGTTTGATTATGATTTTCATTTTGATTATTTAAAAAATGTGTGTATGGACAACCCAAGATGGTGGCCCTTTTAGAAACAGTTCAGGATTGCAGCCACCAGTGAAAGCGCAGAAGGTGAGTGGATGCCGCATTTCCAGACAGATCTTTATTGCCCACAGACCAGGAGATTCCTAGGCGGAGAAGCCCTACGGGCCACCAGCATGGCAGTTTTGGCCGGCGCGGCTGTTTTAGCTGGTGCAGCTGTTTTGCCGGCACCAGAGTGCAGCAGCTCTCCATACAAAATAAACTGGTCTGGTTGCCCCTTTAAGCTCACCAGGAGATTCCCGGGCAGCACCGTTCTTTCAGCCAGCACAGTGAGTCACCGCATGGGAAATCACACAGATCCCGGCACCCTTTCAGCAGGCAACTGGAACACCTAGGAGAGAGTCAACTGTTCAACTTAAAAAAAAAAAGGCTCTGAGGCAAAAAGCCAGGTGATCAGGCTCAGCAGGTCCCATCCCCACAAAAACAAACCAAAAAAACAGCAATTGGAAACACTCGGGGTTGAGAGTTTCATGGCAAGCACAGCTGAACCCAGGACAGCAGCTCGGTGGGGGAGGGGTGTCCACCATTACCGAGGCACTCCACCCCTATGGAGATACTCAACCATTGCTGAGGTAACTTGCCATTGCTGAGGCAACCCGCCATAACAGAGAGAGTTCACAATTACAGAGAAAGGCCACCACTGCCGAGGCAGTTCTAACTACACCCATACAAACTGGACTACAGGGAAGCTGAACAGCAGCAGGACAGAGCTCAGCAAAGCCTCTGCAGGCAGACAGTGACTAGGCTGCCTCCTTGCTGGGCAGGGCAGCCCTGAAAAAGAAAAGGCAGCAGCACAGTGTACACTCATAAATAAAGCCCTAACACCCCGGGACAGAGCAGCTGGGGAAAAAAAGGCGGTTTATGAGTTCTGCTGCAGCAGACTTAAACGTACCTGCCTAGCACCTCTGAAACAACAATGGAGCTCACAGCTCAACATTTGAGCTCCTATAAAGAACAGACTGTCTCCTCAAGCAGCTCCCTGACCGCCATATATCCAAAGAGTCACCTCACCAAAAACTGATTAGACTGACAATTGGTGGGCATCATTCTGGGACAAAGATAGCAGAAAAAGAAGCTGGTAGCAACCCTTATGGTTCTGTAGCTGCTGCAGGTGCTCCCCAGCTAAGCAGGGCCTGCAGTGGACCTCAGCAGTCCTACAGCAGAGGGGCCAGACTGTTAGAAGGAAAACTAAGAAACAGAAATGACTTTATCATCAACAACCTGGATGTCCACTCAGAGACCCAATTGGAAAATCAGCAACCACACAGATGACAGGTGGATAAATCCATAAAGACGGGAAGAAACCAGTGCAAAAAGGAGGAAAACACCTGAAACCAGAACACCTCTCCTCCTACAAGGGGCCACAACTCCTAACCAGCAAGGGAACAAAGTGGACGGAGAATGAGTGTGATGAAATGACAGAATCAGCCTTCAGAACGTAGGTAATGAGAAACCTCTGTGAGCTAAAAGAACATGTTCTAACTTAATGCAAAAAAACTAAGAACCTTGAAAAAAGATTTGAGGAAATGATAACCAGAATGGACAACTTAGAGAGGAATATGAGTGGATTGATGGAGCTGGAAAACACAACACAAGAACTTCGCAAAGCATGCACAAGTTTCAACAGCCGAATTGACCAAGCAGAAGAAAGGATACCAGAGGTCGAAGATCAACTCAATGAAATGAAACAAGAAGGCAAGATTAGAGAAAAAAAACACAAAAAGGAATGAACAAAGTCTCCAAGAAATGTGGGACTATGTGAAGAGACCTAATCTACATTTGATAGGTGTACCTGAATGTGACAAAGAGAATGAATCCAAGCTGGAAAATACTCTTCAGGATATTATCCAGGAAAATTTTCCGACCTAGCAAGGCAGGCCAATATTCAAGTCCAGGAAATACAGAGAATACCACAAAGATATTCCTCAAAAAGAGCAACCCCAAGGCACGTAATCGTCAGATTCACCAGGGTTGAAATGAAGGAGAAAATGCTAAGGGCAGCCAGAGAGAAAGGTCAGGTTACCCACAAAGGGAAGCCCATCAGACTCACAGCAGATCTCTCAGCAGAAACCCTACAGGCCAGAAGAGAGTGGGGGCCAATATTCACCATCCTTAAAGAAAAGAACTTTCAACCCAGAATTTCATATCCACCCAAACTGAGCTTCATAAGTGAAGAAAAAATAAAATCCTTAGCAAACAACCAAGTACTCAGAGATTTTGTCACCACCAAGCCTGTTTTACAAGAGCTCCTGAAAGAGGCACTACACATAGAAAGGAACAACCAGTACCAGCCATTCCAAAAACATGCCAAATGCTAAAGAGCATCAACAAAATGAAGAATCCGCATCAACTAATGGGCAAAACAGCCAGCTAGCATCAAAATGGCAGTGTCAAATTCACACATAACATTATTAACCCTAAATGTAAGTGGGCTAAATGAACCAATCAAAAGACACAGGCTGGCAAATTGGATAAAAAAACAAAACCCATCGGTGTGCTGTATCCAGGAAATCCATGTCACATGCAAGGATACACAAAGGCTCAAAATAAAAGGATGGAGGAAGATATACCAAGCATATGGAGAGCAACAAAAAGCAGGAGTTGCAATTCTCATCTCTGATAAAATAGGCTTTAAAGCAACAAAGATCAAAAGAGACAAAGAAGGACATTACATAATGGTAAAAGGATCAATGCAACAAGAAGAGCTAATGATCCTAAATATATATGGACCCAATACAGGAGCACCCAGATATATAAGGCAAGTTCTTAATGACTTACAAAGAGACTTAGACTCCCACACAATAATAGTGGGAGACTTTAACACTCCACTGTCAATATTAGACAGATCAACCAGACAGAAAATCAACAAGGATATCCAGGGCTTGAACTCAGACCTGGAACAAACAAACCTGATAGATATTTACAGAACTCTCCACCCCAAATCCACAGAATATACATTTTTCTCAGCACCACATCACACCTACTCTAAAATTGACCACATAATTGGAAGTAAAGCACTCCTCAGCAAATGCAAAAGAACGGAAATTATAACAAATTGTCTCTCAGACCACAGTGCAATCAAGTTAGAACTCAGAATTCAGAAAGGAACTCAGATCCACACAGCTTCATAAAAACTGAAGAACTGGCTCTTGAATGTTGACTGGATAAACAATGAAATGAAGGCAAAAATAAAGAAGTTCTTCGAAACCAACGAGAATGAAGACACAACATACCAGAATCTCTGGGACACATTTAAAGCAGTCTCTAGAGGAAAACATATAGCAATAAGTGCCCACCTGAGAAGAGTGGAGACATCCAAAATTGACACCCTATGGTCAAAATTGAAAGAGCTAGAAAAGCAAGATCAAAAAAACTCAAAACCTAGCAGAAGACAAGAAATAACTAGGATCAGAGCAGAACTGCAGGAGATAAAGACATGAAAAACCCTTCAAAAAATCAAGAAATCCAGGAGCTGGTTTTTCGAAAAGATCAACAAAATAGAACAATAGCCAGATTAATTTTTTTAAAAAAAGAGAGAATAAACAAATAGAAGCAATAAAAAATGATAAAGGGGAAATTACCACATATCCCACAGAAATTCAAACCATCATCAGAGAATATTACAAACAACTCTATGCACATAAACTAGTAAACCTGGAAGAAATGGATAAATTCCTGGACACTTGCATCCTCCGAAGCCTAAACCCAGAAGAAGTTGAAACCATGAATAGACCAATAATGAGATCTGAAGTTGAGGCAGCAATTAAGAGCCAACCACACAAAAAAAGCCCAGGTCCAGATGAGTTCATAGCCGAGTTCTACCAGACACACAGAGGACCTGTTACCATACCTCCTGAAACTATTTTAAATAATCCAAAAAGAGGGAATTCTTCCCAAATCGTTTTATGAGACCAACATCATCCTGATACAAAACCCGGCAGAGACTCAACAAGAAAAGAAAACTTCAGGCCAATATCCATGATGAACATAGATGCAAAAATCTTCAATAAAATACTGGCAAGCCTATTGCAACAGCACATCAAAAAGCTTATCCACCATGATGAAGTAGGATTCATCCCGGGGATGCAAGGCTGGTTCAACATACTCAAGTCTATAAACATAATTCACCACATAAAAAGAACCAAAAACAAAAACCACATGATTATCTCAATTGATGCAGAGAAGGCCTTTGACAAAATTCAACAGCCCTTTATCTAAAAACCCTCAATAAACTCAGTATCGATGGAACGTATCTCAAAATAATAAAAGCTATTTACGACAAACCAACAGCCAATATCATACTGAATGGGCAAAAACTGGAAGCATTCCCTTTGAAATCCGGCACTAGACAAGGATGCCCTCTCTCACCACTCCTATTCAATATAGTACTGGAAGTTCTAGCCAGAGCAATAAGGCAAGAAAAAGAAATAAAGGGTATTCAAATAGGAAAGGTGGAAGCCAAATTGTTTCTATTTGCAGAAGACATGATAGTATACCTAGAAGACCCCATCATCTCAGCCCAAAAACTCCTGAAACTGATAAGCAACTTCAGCAAAGTCTCAGGATACAAAATCAATGTGCAAAAATTACAAGCATTCCTATACACCAATAACAGACTTAAAGAGAGCCAAATCAAAAATGAACTGCCATTGACAATTGCTACAAAGAGAATAAAATACCTTGGAATACAACTCACAAGGAACGTAAGGGACCTCTTCAAGGAGAACTACAAACCACTGCTCAACTAAATAAGAGAAGACACAAACAGATAGAGAAACATTCCATGTTCATGGTTAGGAAGAATCAATATCGTGAAAATGGCCATACTGCCCAAAGTAATTTACAGATTCAACGCTATCCCCATTAAGCTACCAATGATCTTCTTCACAGAACTGGAAAAAGCTACCTTAAACTTCATTTGGAACCAAAAGAGAGCCCGCCTAGCCAAGTCAATTCTAAGCAAAAAGAACACAGCGGGAGGCATCACACTTCCAGACTTCAAACTATATTATAAGGCTACAGTAATCAAAACAGCATGGTACTGGTGCCAAAACAGAGATACAGACAAATGGAACAGAACAGAGGCATCGGAGTCAACCTAACGTATCTACAACCATAGAATCTTTGATAAACCTGACCAAAAAAAAAAGCAATGGGGAAAGGATTCCCTGTTTAATAAATGGTGTTGGGAAAATGGCTACCCCTGTTCAGAAAGCAGAAACTGGACCCCTTCCTGACAACTTACACTAAAATTAACTCCAGATGGATTAAAGACTTAAAAGACCTAACACCATAAAAACCCAGAAGAAAATCTAGGCAAAACCATTCAGGACATAGGAATAGGCAAGGAATTCATGACTAAAACACCAAAAGCATTGGCAACAAAAGCCAAAATAAACAAATGGGACCTAATCAAACTCCACAGCTTCTGCACAGCAAAAGAAACAGTCATTAGAGTGAATCGGCAACCAACAGAATGGGAAAAAATTTTTGCAGTTTACCCATCTGACAAAGGGCTGATATCCAGAATTTACAGAGAACTAAAACAGATTTACAAGAAAAAAGCAAACACGCCCATTCAAAAGTGGGCAAAGGACATGAACGGACACTTTACAAAAGAAGACATACAAGAGACCAAGAAACATATGAAAAAATGCTCATCATCACTGGTCATCAGAGAAATGCAAATCAAAACTACACTGAGATACCATCTCACGCCAATTAGAATGGCGATCATTAAAAAATCTGGAGACAACAGATGCTGGAGAGGATGTGGAGAAATAGGAACACTTTTACACTGCTGGTCGGAGTGTAAATTAGTTCAACCATTGTGGAAGACGGTGTGGCAATTCCTCAAGGACCTAGAAATAGAAATTCCATTTGACCCAGCAATCCCATTACTGGGTAAAGGATTATAAATCCTTCTACTATCAGGACACATGCACACAAATGTTCATTGCAGCACTGTTTACAATAGCAAAGACCTGGAATCAACCCAAATGCCCATAGATGATAGACTGGACAGGGAAAATGTGCACATATACACCATGGAATATTATGCAGCAATGAAAAACGATGAGTTAGTGTCCTTTGTAGGGACATAGATGAACCGGAAGAACATCATTCTCAGCAAACTGACACAAGAACAGAAAACCAAACACTGCATGTTCTCACTCATAGGCGGGTGTTCAACAATGAGAACGCATCGACACAGGGAGGGGAACACTACACACTGGGGGGAATAGGGGAGGGACAGTAGGGGGTGGGGAGTTGGGGAGAGATAGCATGGGAGAAGTGCTGGATACAGGGGAAGGGGAGGAAGGCAGCAAATCACACTGCCATGTGTGTACCTATGCAACTATCTTGCATGTGCTTCACAGGTAACCCAAAACCTAAAATGCAATTTTAAAAAAATGTGTGTATCTTTATACTCACAAATATATAGATATAGATGAAGTCCTTTTTATATGACTTAATTCTCTTAATTAGGATATTATGAGGAATAATCAGGGTCCAATGTGTTGAAAAAATGAGCTGTGATTTTTTTTTTAATTTGTCTTTCTTCTGTATAACATAATTTACCTTCATGGAGTCAGTCATAATTACTAACAACTATTTTTTAAAATGCATTAGTATAAATATATTTTATCATCAGAATATTCACTAGTAGCTAAAGATGGTAATGGTTAAATTTTATACCGATGTTCTCTGATAAGCCAGGGAATATCATGATGTGAGATCCAACTTACGAAGTCAGTTGTTCAGTGTTGAAATATATGCAGCAATTGATTGTTCCATTAAGTGCAGGGAGTTCAAATGCCTAGAATAAGTATTTAATTATGAGTCAGAAGTAATTTAGTGGTGCCTGAGTATACAGTTTAATAATGACACACCAACTTGCATTTAAATATTTGCAAGTTCACTGCCTTTTGAAAAAGTCTATTCTGTTATAAAATAAGCTTTTGAAGAAAGATGTCTGGTTGATTAATTGCTCGGAATAGCCCCAATGTTATACACATAAGCTATTGACACTACCACATGTGAAATTACACAAAATTTACTTTGTCAATGTAATTTTTAATCTACCAAAATATATAATTCAAAACAATTCACAAACACGGTATCAAAAATGGTTAACGAAATAGTAAAAATTCACACATAAAATGATCTGTATTGTTGAAATCTTTAAAAATCATAATAAATTTAAAAGTAAATGCTTGCCAATCAAAGCAGAAATGTTAGTTTTTTTAATTTTCCTATTACATACTGCTTATCTATACTACAGAAAAGGAGAAAACATTCTACATTTTACCCCTTAATCTTGGCTATAAGTACAAAGAGCAAAAGTTCTTTGTTTAAAACTAGCAAAGTGTATAAACTAATTTACTGCACGGATGCTCGTAATTGATGTTTTCTACTCATTTCTGATCTCCTACACATACAATACACCTGTAATTCTCTTGAGGCCATCTGTAACACTTACCAATAAAAAAATCATATTTAATCAACAACAGCAAAGACTGTGACATATACAGTACAATGCATTTCTATGTTATAAATGTAGATTTGTACAAACACTGACTCCAGTGTCTTAAGGAGTACTGGGAAGAGTTAATGCTAAAAAAAAAATTGCATGGTTAAAAATAAATCTCAACAATATTAAGAAGAAAATCCAGTGATCTATAGTTAAGACTACAGCTTATTTTATGGAAAACACACTTATTCCATCTCCATTTGAAAGCGCTATTGTTGGTTTTACTTTGGCTGCCAAGTCCTATCACTAAAACTTGAATACTGTCTCCTATTCTATTGAAAATAGGGAAATCCACAATGGTTGAACTAATTTACACTCCCACCAGCAGTGTAAAAGTGTTCTGCACGTGTACCCCAAAACCTAAAATGCAATAATAAATAAATAAATAAACCAGATTGGAAAAGAAAAAAGAAAATAGGGAAATCGCGTAAAGCTGTAATAACTGATCTAGATGTGAAGAAAACTAATTTATAAATATATTTTTTCCATTATTTTAAAACCAATGTTACTTTCCTATATTTTTAAAGTAATTATTACCCATCTATCTTTGGCTCATTCTCTAAAATGCATCTGCCCAACGCTTCCATCACATGTAATTGCTGATAATCAGTGCCTGCTGTGATGGTCAGCATTATCTCTGCAGTGTTTGAATGTGAGTGAGGTGACAAAGTGATCATCTTGCAGCTCACTATTGATTATACATCTGTTCTTTATACCATGAATAAATTGCAGTTCAACCTGGCAATATCTCTATCATTTTCATTCTGGGCACCAGAATTCCAGTATTTTGATTCTGAATAGATCAATTTCACTTGATTTCTGGCTGCTAGGAGGGTGTTTTAGCTAATCTAACTAAGTAAATCACAAAGCATTTTTCTTTAATTTTCCATTTTTAATTGTTTTGTTTTGCGGCTTATCAAGTTTCCTTTGAACACGACTTCCTTACCTAGATTAAATGAGAAATTAGAGATAGGAAGACACATTCCCTGCCTTCGGTGTCTAACTCACATGTGAAATTGTGCACTTGATTCTATAACTCGTGGAAGATCAGATATGAGCCTCCCCATAAGGTGTCTGAACACTAAGAGAGTAAAAGTCCTTGCCAGCGCTAATCAGATAAGCCCTGACCGATAACGGGACTTAGTCTATACAGTTGTACAAAATTACCAAAAGATGATCAAAATTTATGTTGCCTGGATGATCAATACCATGTTGAGGCTGACATTCTTTTTTTTTTTTTTTTTTTAAGACGGAGTTTCGCTCTTGTTACCCAGGCTGGAGTGCAATGGCGCGATCTCGGCTCACCGCAACCTCCGCCTCCTGGGTTCAGGCAATTCTCCTCCCTCAGCCTCCTGAGTAGCTGGGATTACAGGCACGTGCCACCATGCCCAGCTAATTTTTTGTATTTTTAGTAGAGACGGGGTTTCACCATGTTGACCAAGATGGTCTCGATCTGTTGACCTCGTGATCCACCCGCCTCGGCCTCCCAAAGTGCTGGGATTACAGGCTTGAGCCACTGCGCCCGGCCGATGCTGACATTCAAACAGATGTTAACCAAGATGTTCTGCCATGGTATTCTAAACTAGAGCTTGAAGATTCTCTTTGTGGTCACTGACACAGCCATTGCAATGGGGAAATCACTTCTAAATTGTTCATTTCAAGCCATGATGTAATGAGAAAGAAGAGAAAGAAAGAAATCTTAATAGACTGGTATTGCTCATTTTGCTTTGAGATCCTACGGATATGAATATGTGACAACACAAAAGACTCATGGTTAACATACGATAACCATTATCTGTCAAATAGATCCTTTGATGACCCTGTTCCAGATGAATCAGATAAAACATCAGTACCAATAACATGATATTGATAAGGGACATATTTCTTTCCAAGAATCAATAATATACCTAAATAATAATCAAAAGAGCTATGATACTTCAGGCTAAATGCAGTAAGTAATAACCCATTTATTCATTCATTTAATATATGTGAATTACATTCAACTTAGAATGGGTTGAGTTCAAGCAGAGTGCAGTTATAAAACCATCTTTGTGCTTTATTTATCTAATGGTGCTTAAAAACAAAAATAATCAGCATTTATTGCATGGGTATTTATTAGCCAAACACAATTTAAGGTATGTTACAAGATGGGAGGGCAACAATGAAATGTAAAACTTTTAATTATATTATTACAGAATTGTTATTAATATATTTGCAGATGTTTATAAACTGGTCAACTTTACTTCTATCTTAAAATTAAATGTGTCCATAGTTAAGGTAATATATTTTTTTAAAAATAAGCTTTTTAACAATAAGAGCCTTTCATGTTTCATGGCACTCAAATTTCTTTTAATTAGTAACTTCTGTTTTCTTTTTAAAAATAACTTTCAACCTAATGTCTGTGGAAATCAGCTAATATAAATGAATAAACACACTTCAAAGAGCCAAATTCCTAATTATTTAAAATTGCATATAATATGAAATAAACTCATAAAAGACTTTGTTCTATAACAGAAAAAAAAAAGCTATTGGAGAAGAATTCAGCAATTCCAGAAAGATTTTAGTGGATATGAAGAAATAATTGAGTGCTTGACATGTAACTTTGTAGGTCAAAACCTGAAAAGGCAACATCTGAAAATAAACTGAAACAAAATTGTGGAATTTTGGTTGGGAGTTAGATTGGAGGTTTCATTAAAAAAAAATTGAGTATGTGACCTGGATTTCAGAAAGTTCAAAGAACAAAGGAAGAGTTAGTTAAGAGGTAGAAGCCAGTTTAGGCCCTGGAATCTTGAAATAGTGGTCGCGTAGGATCGAGGTCACCGGTGGACACAACCCAAACGGTCAGGGAGGAGGGAAAAACAAAACAAATGGAATTCTAGTTTTCTAGTTCTGAGAAACAGATATTGGGGGCATTTAGGTCTTTCTGAGCTAAAGCTGAATAACAAGGTTAAGCCCATGAACTGACTGGCTATAACATACTATGTAGAATGTACTACATTGTTGAATTAAGTAATCAGTAGTCAGTTTACTTTTATCCCATTTAAAGACTCACCAAGTGATACTCAAGAATGCTATGCACTAAGACAAAGTTCAGAACACTCTTACTGTCTATTCCAAATGGGTTGATTATCAGTCATAAAATACTTTTTTTTTTTTTTTTTTTTGAGATGGAGTTTCGCTCTTGTTACCCAGGCTGGAGTGCAATGGTGCGATCTCGGCTCACCGCAACTTCCACCTCCTGGGTTCAGGCAATTCTCCTGCCTCAGCCTCCTGAGTAGCTGGGATTACAGACACACGCCACTATGTCCAGCTAATTTTTTTTTTTTTTTGTATTTTTAGTTGAGATGGGGTTTCACCATGTTGACCAGGATGGTCTCGATCTGTTGACCTCGTGATCCCACCTGCCTCGGCCTCCCAAAGTGCTGGGATTACAGGCTTGAGCCACTGCGCCCGGCTAGTAAAACTTTTTTAAAAGCCAAACAACTATCAAAATATAAAGACTAAATTCATTTTTGAAAATTACTAAAAAAAATAGAAATATTACATGGTTTGTAGAGTGAAAAATAGAAAGCTTAGATATCATGAACAGAAAGTATTTACAGGCAAGCTCTTCTCTATTAAGAGCAAAAGTTTAGATGTTGGTTCAAAAAGTAAAATATGATTGTAGGACTGTATAAGAGATAAAAAAAAATTAAGAGATTGGAAGACAAGGAGGTTGCAGAGGAAGAGGAGAGCTAACATTCTTTGAGTTCTCAATATTTGTTAGGCATTTTTAAAACCCCTTACAAGAAAAAAATTCTCAGAAATATAAGTATCATTATTATCTTCATGCTATAAAATGGGGAAATTTAGGCTCAGTGAAGCTTAATAACAGTTTTTAAATTATTTATCAAGTAATTTTAACGCCAGGTATTAAACGACATCCACTTATACTGTATTTACCTGGGTTTGCTAACTGGCACTTGGAGAAGTTAAGCTCCTACCTTTCCACAGAAACATGGGCCCTATCATTAGGTGTTGCTGGAACAAAAAGTAAATTCTTCTGACAGTTGTGAGTTTTCTCAGGCAGGCACTCTAAGAGGGGCTAGGGTCACGCTAGGAGATAATCCTTGAACTGTTAGAAACTATGTTTGTATCTGTTCAGGTATTTCTAGGCCAAAAAAATAAATAGCAGTTGATAAGAGATGAATGTGTCACCGAAATTTTCAGAAAGAGGAAGCAGATGGAGAGATGGTAACTGAAGTCACTTAATAGAAAAGGTTGAAACCTAATCCCTACAGGAAATAATAACAAAAAACCAGCAATTTAACTTTTGCAAAATCCCCCCCAAAAAGCACAAAAGTACCAGATACCAAAGTGATGGTGCATAACCACATAG